ATATCATACCCATTCGTGAATGAAAAATGAGTAAATTAGGAATAAAGGGGACTTTCCTCAACTAGATTAAGAATATTTTCAAAAATCCTACAGTTAACATCATACTCAATGACGAGAAACTAAAAACTCTATGACCGTCACTAAGGAGGAAAGAATATCCCCTCTCACCACGGCTATTCAACATCATACTGGAATCCCTGGCTAAAACCATTAGAAAAAAAAGGAAATTAAAGATACAGAGGGCCTACAGAATGGAAGAAAATTTTTGCCATATACTCTGCCTACAAGAGATTAATAACCAGAATATATAAAGAACTCAAAAAACTTAACACCAAAAAAACTTAATAACCCACTCACAAAAGATCCAAAGAGACATTTCACAAAAGAAAAAATATAAATGGTCAACAAATATGAAGAAAAATATCCTTAGCAATCAGGGAGATGCAAATCAAAACTGCACTGAGATTTTATCTTACCCAGTCAGAATGGCAATCATCAAGCATACAAATAGCAGTAATTCTGGTGAGGATGTAGGGGAAAAAATACACATTCATTGTTGGTGAAACTGCAAATTAGTGCAACTACTTTGCAAAGCAGTATAGTGATTCCTCAACAGATAAGAATGGAACCGCAATAGGATTAGCTATCCCACTCCTTGGTGTTTGTTGTAAAGATCTAAAATCAGCATACATAGTAATACATGCATACCAATGTTTATAGCAGCACAATCCATAATAGCAATTTATGGAACCAGCCTAAGTGCTCATCAATTCATCAGTAGACAAATGGATAAAGAAAATGTTTTGTGTGTGTGTGTGTGTGTGTGTGCGCACATATATATACACACAGTGAAATTATATTCAGCCGTAAAGAAGAATGAAATTATGTCATTTGTTTCCTCTTGTATGCAGAAGCTAAAACTATGGAGCTATTAAAACAGGGTTGCAGAATATAAGACAAGATTCCTAGAAAACTACAAAACTCTAATGAAAGAAATCAAAATCTAAATAAATGGAGAGATATTACATGTTATTCAGGGATAGGAAGACTCAGTGTTCCCAATATATCAGTTCTTTTTGTTGATTCCATGCTATCCCACTCAAAATCCCACAAGTATTTTGTGCATATCAACAAACTGGCTATAAAAAATATCTGGAGAGGCAAAAAAAAAAAAAACCAGAATAATCAACACAGTATTGAAGGAGAAGAGCAAAGTTGGAGGACTGATCTTACCTGACTTCAAGACATTGTATAAATCTACAGTAGTCATAACAGTGTAGTATTACCAAACGAAGAGACAGATCAGTGCAACAGAATAGCACATAGAGTAGTCAGCTATACATCCATCTATATAGGATTCTGTTCACTGTTAAAAAGAAATAATTTCAGACCTTTGAAAGACATGGAAGAAACTTAAATGCATATTACTAAGTGAAGGAAACCAATCTGAAAAGACTGTTATACTATGTAATTTCCACTCTGACATTCTAGAAAAGGCAAAACTTTGGAGAGAGTTAAAATATCAATAGTTGGTCAGGGGTTGGAGGAAAGAAGGGAGGGATGAACAGAGTGGGGAACAGAGGAATTTTATAGCAGAAAAGCTATAATGGTGAATGAATGAATACTATCTATAATGATAGATATGTGTCAGTATAATTTGTTTTCACACAAAGAATATTACAGAACAAGAATGAACCCTAATTAGACTCTTAGTGATGATGTGTCAGTGGAAGTTCATTAGTTTTAAGAAAAGTACCACTACACAGTTGCAGGGTGATGATAATAGAAGAGGTGATGCATGTGTTATGGGAAATCTCTCTACCTTCCTCTCAACTTGACTGTGAGCCTAAAACTCCTCTTTAAGGTTTTTTAAAAATAGAGGTTTTATAATCAAGGTAACTACCATCACCACCAACTCTAGTACTTCCTGTTTCTGCTACATTTGTCTCCTTAGTGCTTAGTACCTTTTAATAAAAATGTGTTGTTTCTCAAAATATATTAAATATTTTTGCAGTGCATTTGTGGCTGATTCTGGAGAAGAGAACAGAATTGGAATGAAGCAGAGTATTTACTTTTTGATTTTTTATTTGTAGATCTCCATATGGCACTAGGATAAGAATAACAACTTCTGAGTCTTTTGAATCTTACTTAAATGATTGTTTAAAAACTTTCCAATTTATGTAGATAGTTATATCTGAAAAGTGTACACAGTGTATGTATATTTTTTCCTACATCCTCTAAGATTAACTGCAGGTCAGATTGTTCCCTTTCAGTCCTCCCTGTCAGAGAATAGTACACTAGGATGAGATTATCCAAGGCCCTGGACATACCAATTTCAAGAACTATCTAAATACATTAGAAAGATTTTAAAGACCCATTTTGGAAATTTTTAGAATTAATTGTTTTGTCTTCTGTCTTAACATTAGACAAATCAACCTTGGAAATGGATATTTATGTCAGTTGAGCATACAGAGGTTTCTCTTTACACCAAAAAATGTCTTTGATCCAGTGCTGACCCAGGCTGCCTTCACCACTACAGCAGAGAATTTGATAGTATAGCTGTCTTCTGCAAATCATTGTCCTGCCCTCTGTAGGGGAGAAGAAATCTTCTGTAAAGAGGGGTTGTGGCCTGAATGGAACTTAGAAGCACACATTTTAAAAGAGAGATAAGTGTTAGACAACATTTCTAATCCTGACATCATTTAAATCTTCATCGTACATATACTTGCTGTCCTTCCTCCCTAGTTCTTATTATAACTTCTAATAAATTTGAATGGTAGGAAAAACAACTTGTATTTGTTTACATTAAGTTTATGTTTTGTTTTGAATATAAAATCAGATAAACTGAAAGTGAACAGTTATTCTCTTCCTGAAATATGTTTCCCTTCTGCTTTCTCTGTTGAGTTTTTAAATAATGAGAATTCATAAGAATCATAATTAGGAAATGGATTTTATTTTTATTCTATTTAAAACTTTAATTTAGGTATTTTGTTATTAATTACTTATTTACTTTATTTTTAAATGAAAGAATGCCTGTTGTGTTAGACAATAGTTGAAGTAAGTTTTTGATAAGGCCTTTTAATTTCTTTAAATTGTTGAAAATAAGTCTGACCTCTCTGACTATAAAGCATTTTTATATCTACAGTTAATTATCGTGAAATGATTGTGTTTTATATGAGTTACATAATTTGTTATGCATATTTATAAGCTTTATATATACATCTATATTTTTCAGTTAAAATATTTCATGTTTTAAAAATATTTAAATTATTTCATGAAAAATGTGTTTTAAAATAGTTTATCATTAGTGGATAAGTTTATAAGAACTAAAATAGTAATAGTAACATTTATGCATTTTATCTTTTTAATAAATAAGCAATATGTCAGCAAAACAGTGCTAAAGCTATGCTGTAAAAGTAACATTAGTTTGAGCATTAGGGCTTTCTTCCATCAGGTCCAGTAAATTTTGGACGTAGGCCCTGCATATTTTAAAGGTTGCCCTTAAGATAGTAGGATAGAGTATTAAAGCACGACTGGGTAGTGTTAAGTAAGGGAAGCTGTTTATCAAAAGTGCCTTACTCACCTACATGGTGTGTACATGCAAGTGACTAAAGTCTCTTAATTATTTTGAAAAAGAATAATTAAGAATCTGATCGGTGTTTATCAAGAAAAATAAATACTTAAACTAAAGTGTGCTTACTAAATTGTAAACAGAACTGAAGGACAGATTTTTTTTTTTTTTAGATTTGATGGGAAACAAATTCCAAGTCCACTAAAATACTAAAAGAATTATGGAGAAAAATAATTTTCATTATAATTAGAATGTGTAATATGTGGTTCACAATAAAAGGACCAAATTTTATGCAATCTTTAATAATAATTCAACAAATACTAGAAGTATAGACAACTTGTTGGTGCTCATTCAGTAAAATTATCGAGCTGAGGACCTGCAGGTACCTGGCACTGAGATAAAAGCTTGAGATACGTTGTTAGTACTATTTGAAAATTTTAGAAAGCAATAATTATATTAATCAAAATTTGATATCAGTTTACCTGGCATTGTTACCTCTTTACCTAGGGAATGTCAAGAGTTTCATTTTATGTCTATCTACAGCAAAATTTAAAACAGCTTTAAAAAAATTATTCTGCTTTAAAAATATAGCCTTATAAACAGAATTGAAATATGTCATCTGCTCTTCATGGTCTTATGACCCCAGCCCTCTCTAATCAGTACTCCTTAGAGTCCTTATTTCAAATGACAACTTGCTTATTTCAAATGATAAGAAACAATGCCAGGTATTTACCCTGTCTTTAGAAATATACATGCAAGTATATTCATATCTTAGATTAATATTTTCCCCAAATTATTTAGTTGGGCTCTATACATATTAATCATGTATGTAGAGCTAGAAAACTTACTAGGGATAAATTCTGGAGAAAGAATTTATAATGGTTGTTTTCATGTTTTAATTGTTTATAGTAAAAAGTTTTGGAAATCTTAAGAATTTTTCCACAGATGGTACAAAAACGTAAGATATTTTCATGCAAGAAAAAGTTAAGTGACATGTAATTTTTATATAAAGTACATTATTCACCTTTCTAATTGGGGGTTATATTTATATTCTAGCTCAAATGAGGGTTGACTAGTTTAGTCTGGGTGTATTGTTCCATGAAGAGAGAGACTCAGCAATTCTAGCATGAACACCAAAGCTACTTTTCTTGTTTTGCACAAACTGTAACTTTTGCAGTTAATTTACTAAAATATAAAGAATTCTAGTTTAATACCTCATGAAGGAAAATCTTCCACAACTATGTTGCCATATCTGTGGTTTGTATTAGTAATAAAATATTGAAAAGAATGAAGTAAAGTGATCAAAATGCACTTGAGTCTAAGAAAACCTTTATGTTTTTAAATATGTTCATTAATCTTGAATGTAAGCACATGCCTAACAGCACTTTCTATAATCTAATAAATATCTTAATTATTTTTTTTTTCCTAGGGGACGTCCGTCTAACTCCAGAGGACTTTGCTAGAGCTCAGAAATACTGCAAATATGCTGGCAGTGCTTTGCAGTATGAAGATGTAAGCACTGCTGTACAGAATCTCCAGAAGGCTCTCAAGTTACTGACTACAGGCAGAGAATGAAGCCTTTGTACGACAGATCTGTGTATTTTTGGCATAAGGAACTACCAGTCCATTACTTTATCTTCAGCCTATCAGGAGCACACTTTTAAGAAAGACTTCAATTCCATTGAAAATGACAGTGAAATCTGTGTGTGTCTAATTCCTATTGAAGCACTCAGCAACAGCCTCTGCCAGTTTTCATTTATTCTAGTAAACAAGTCTTGAGTTCCTAGGGTCGATGTTATCACTGTCCCCAAAATGCCCATTGCACTGGTTCGTCCTTCCAAAAATGAAAACATACTCTGTGAAATTTTATTGGGAATAAGTTTTCCTAATTTACTTACATTAAGGGTATTTTTTTAAGTCTATACTTGGACACACAAACCATATTTCTTTGCTATAAAATTCTAAATTTAACTTAAAAAGATTTCCAGATTTCTAGATTAGAGATTGTTTTTGTTCTCTTCAAGGTTAATAAAACAAATATGAACATCTAAAAATATTAGATGAGTCCAAGAGATTATATTAAAAACTCAAATTATTTTCATGTTAGATATAAATACGTTAAAAATTTAAGACTTCAAGGAAGGAAATGTAAGTTTGAAAAGTAGAATGACTTTTAAAGAATAAAATTGGTTTCCCTGATGCATTTAAGTGTAAGGTGAATTGGTGTTTGTTTTTTAGGCAGTTTGACTGCATGTATTAGAAAATGGGGGGGGGGGGGATGTAGCCTGGAAACTTGGTGCTTTAAATTAAGGTTCTCTGCTGTTGTGGGATGGAATCCACAGAGTGTATGGATGGAATGATGCAGAAAATTATAGGACTTTAGGTTCTTGGTTTTAAGTTGATAATTTTGTGAGGAATTATGGACTTACTATATCACCTCCTACATTTGTGCTATGAAAAAAATAAATACAAGGATTCTTTTAACTAGTTCAACTTATTACAAAGCCAAATGTCTGTTTTGATTTGTGTGGTAGATTCGTTGTTTTTTTTTTTTTTTTTAAGTATTTATATTTAGATACAGGAATATAGATATTTCTTTAGTAAGAAAAAAAAATTTTTAATGAATTTGACAAATTTACCAGAAATTTATCTGGTCAATCTCATTTATGCTACTTGGATCGTAATCTTTTAACTTAGGGGTCAGCAAGCTGTGGCCCCTGGGCTATTCACATTGTTGTGTTAAGAATTTATTGCAATAAAACCATCCTTATTCATTTTTTTGATCTGTGGTTGCTCACCACAACTACAGAGTTTGGAGCCTGCAAAAGGTTTGCTGACATCTAATCTAACTGCCCATTTGAAAGAAAATAAATCACTAACTCATAATTATCTGTCGGCTTTTTCCTGCGTAAATGTGATGCTTGCCTTTGTACAGGGTTGGTAGAATAAATATTCAAACTTAATGAACTATTCTAAATAATCACCCAAAAAAATCCCCAAAAAAACTTACCTCTGGAAAAACGTTCTCAGATTTTTCATAAGATATGTAGACATTTGTAGTTAAGCATTTGCATCTGGAAATCTAGTATAGTTGTGTAGGATATCATTGTAATTAAAAACTGGTCAGGGTGACCTTTTTAAAAGATGTAAACACATTTTAATTCAAACCTCAACAAGTTTGCACTCTACAAGGTCAAACTTGCCCCCTATTTGACACCCTTGTTGGTTCCCAGTGGGGAGAGCACATGGAGAGGAGGAGACATCATGGAAACCATGAAGTCCACTGAGTAGCCAGATCTTTGGTGCAGCAGAGACCCTTTCTGTAAAATGGAAATGACACCATTAGCCACCTCAGAGTTTTATTATAATAATAATAATACATGAAGTGCTTAGCACCTGGTAGCATTCCATAAGTGTTTATCATTGTTCATTTTAATGCTATAGTAATGTAATATAAGTTATTAATAATAATTTATTTCCTAAATATCTAGAAATTTCACTTGTCTTTGTGGCCCAAGGCTTACAAATGCTTTTTTGCATGAGGAGACTGACTATATGATGTTTTCTAACTTTGTATTTGTCTTTCTTCATATAAAATCTGATGATAAAATTAGGATATGTTTTCTGATGTTATACTAGAATAAGCAATTTTCATTTGTTCATTCAACATGTATGCATTGAGCAGCTCCTATCTACCTAGTATTGTTCCTTGCAAGAAAAATAGCAGAAAACAAAACAAAAAAAAAATACAATCTCTGCTTCATAGACTTTATACATTCTAATGGGAAGGAAATGGACATATTTAATAAAGGTATACCATATATAGTATTTGACCAGTGGTTCTCAAAGGGTGAGTGTTAGGAATATAATTCTCAGGCCCTGCCTAGTGGTACCCAATCAGAAATTTTCAGGATAGGACCCACCTTTTTGAGTTTTCAGATACTTGTCTGTTGGTCCCTAATGTTTGAGGGGGTTACCCCTACCCAAATCAAGAAGATGGAGAAGCTGGGAGGAAAGATTCCCCAGAGGAAGTAGTTCCCAGTGATGTGGGAACTTGCTAGAAAGTTCTGAGGATGACACTTTGGAAACTTCAATAATGGACAGTGAAAACTAGAGCATAGACCTGGAAGGTATGTCCTACATCCCTGTTTCACAGGTGAATAAAGTGAGCCACAGGTAGGATAATCAATCTGCCTGAAGTTACATTGCTAATAGTTATTTCTAACCTCAGACTGCCTAGTTCAGATTATTAAAACTATTCATATCCCTGTAAGTTAATCACCAGTGAGGTGTTATGAGTGAATCCCACGTTATCAGCATCGTTGGCTGTTCCTTGTATTTGTGGGGAGCAGAGCAGCTAGATTTTTCCATTGTTTGAGCACTAAGTTCTAATTGTGGATGCTAGATAGGGAACACAAAGTATGAACTTCAATATAATTGGACCCTTGATGTTTGGAACATACTAGATTATGGCCTGAAATCAAAGGGACTTGAGTTCAGCAGATAAAAATCAGGACTTAAGTAACTGTTGCAGTAGATCAATGTATAATATTGGAGAGGGTGTCCCACATCACTAGGGAACCCTAAGTTTTTCAGATGTGCTTTTGTGCTTCCTTGTTGTTTTTTAAATAACATTACTGCCTTTCCTAATTAGATAGCCTTCACCTTCAAAAGATCTGATTGGAATATGGACTTCAATACAAAATTAACAATGATGTTTGGTTTTAGTTATTTCCTTGTTCATCTCCCCCAAAAGATGTTAAGCTCTTTAATGGTAAGAGCTATTTATACAAATATATAAAACCTGGTGCATAATAAGTATCCCTAACTAATGGAGTTAATGGGTGAATAGATGAAAGAATTGTACTGAAATTAAAATCTGGGCTGAAAATGTAGCTTAATGGAAGAGCTCTTGCCTAACAGACTCAAGGCACTAGGTTTAACCCCCAGTACTGAAAAAAACATCAAAATCAGTTGTCAATCTGTTATCCAAAATAGCGACCATCAGAATATTGGAATATTACAGTGTCATGTCACCTAACAAGTCTCAGTGATGTCTAACTTACATAGTTCTTTATCTTTTGAAATCATGAATTGTAATAGTGAATCAGATGTGCTCAGAACATTCTTAGAATATGTGCTTGTAACATCCTAGACACTATAGGTCCTCTGCTGACAGCCTACATATTCTTAGTCAATGTAACATGGCAAAAAATAATAATGTATCCCACCCATTAAAATTATTTAACAAGTACAATTTTGTGTGATAAAAGAAAACATATCCATACCACATTGGAAACTGAAAATAATTACTGTGTCCAAGGAAATTGTAACCAAAAGATTACTTTTACAGGTGAATAGGCAAATCATTAAAAATTAACAGAAACTGCCATTAAGATCTGAACCTTTGGAGAAGAGCAACTCATTTGATTTTCCTCCCTCAATTTATGTTTTTTTCTGCTTCCTGCAAGTCCATAGACAAGCAATTGAAAAGGTGTGAAGATTGTAAAAGCCAGAGGCACAGGGTGATGTAGAGTTAGGAAACTGGGGTTCTGGTTCCCTCATCATTGCAATCTGCTCTGTCCATCAAGTAAAGAAGATTAGCCCTACCCATCCTCCTCTGTTAGTTTTCCCAAATATAGCAAAGTCAGCAGAGTTAGATTTCTCACATCCTTTGAAGATCTAAAATTCTTCAACTCTCTGAATAATATTCAAGACATCTGCACACAAAATTTGGGATTAGGTGTATGGTCCTTGAAACACTTCTCATTTCAACTAGACTCCTTATGTGATATTTTCAAGATTAAATCCTGACATTCTTCCTAATCAGTGAGTTAATGTTCCTTGAACATCTTGTGTTAATATGTCAAGAATTCATTCAGAAAATCCCATTGAAGAAAATGGAAACCAAGGACTAGGAACACAAAATATTTGCTGTTTCTTTGAGCAGGGAATTTTCTGCAAATGCAAAATTACCATTAAGTTCAAACCTAGTATAAAGAAGATGTTAGAGGGAAGAATATGTCCTAGGATTAAGGAGAATAATTTCATAATGATAATTAAGGGGACAAAAATCAGAGGTGTATGTGCTTATCAAAGTATATAAAATGAAAGCTAACATACCTAATCTTGAAATTAAAAGTGGCCAGGAATCCAGTAGTAGTAGAAAATCCAAAATGGTTAGAAGTCAAAAAAATTTTGAACACTGACATGACCCTCCAAAACATTTCGGACTTTGGAGTATGTCGTAGTTTAATTTTTAAGTAAAGAATGGTCAGCCAGTAAAGTCTATGCAAATACTCCAGAATCAAAAATTTGATACACTTCTAGTCCTAAGCACTGTGGATAAAAAATAGTCAACTTGTATTCAGTTGCAAAGAAAAATAAATTTTAAAACTTATCTCAATAGTTGATAGAAAAAAATAGTTGATAGAACATTTAGAAAATATGGCTAGTACGCTGGATTCATGGGGTCCTTAAGATCCTGTTAAAACTAATCATTTTTTTAAAAATATGGACTCCCTCTCATGTTCTTCATTTGGGGTGATTCCTACATAGCTCAGTATGAAAATGACCCATCAACCCTTTTTTCATTGAAGATGTTATTTCTCCATTTTGTGAAGATTGCAAATAGCATCTGTAATTTTTTTTGTTCAACCTTTTGGGTTGGTTGGTTTTGATACTGAATTGAAGTGGAAACACATGTTGATTATTTACAAATGACTATATAACTTGTTGAGTATATGTGTTTATTGATCCTTTTTCAATACTGATTTTAGATAATTAGAGTAATCTCTTTTAAAATGATTTTTAAAACGTAGGAAAAAAACAAATCAGAATATTTTATTATCATTCTTAATCTCTTCATCTATTAAATTGTACCTTCTAGAATAAGCAGGAATCCAATAGAGAAAGTGAGATGAGTAGTTAAGAAGGGAAGCCTTGGAGGGGAAATGTAATTGTGGATGAGCAGATAAGTTTTTTGATGGCAGCAAAATAGCTATCATAGTCCTAAGGCAAAACTGCCTGATAAAACAGGCATAGTCACATTTTCCCAGTGAGAGATAGGCATCGATCTTAGAATGCTCTATAGTTTATATATCCATTCAATATATCAGTGAATAAATTTTTGAAAGATTACACCTTTTATTTTTGCATGTTTTACTAGTTTAAATTTTAAAGCTCAACCTACCACCTTTTCATAGTCCATAGAGGCTATTGTACCAAAATACTTTACACTGACTAGAACAATAGAAATGTATTCCTCATGGTTCTGGAGACTAGGAACTACAAGATCAAGTTTTCACCAGACTAAGGTTCTAGTGAGGAACCATTCTCTTGCCTTGTCTTCACATGGCAAAGAGGCAAACAAACTCCTTGGATCCTCTTTTATAAAGGTACCAATCATAGTCACCTCCCAGAAGGCCCCACTTTTAATACTATCACACTGGGGATTAGTTTTCAATACATGATTTTTGAGAGGACATAAGCATTCAGTCCACAGCATGCTTATAATGCAATTTCTGTACTTAGAATATGAGTTATTTGAGGATTAGGCAATGTTTTATTCATCTTTAAGCTATAATGTTTACTACAAATCTTAAATTGGATAGTGACCATTTAAAAATATGTGGATGAGGGATGGGGTTGTGGCTCAGTGGTAGAGCACTTGCCTTGCACATGTGAGACACTGGGTTCGATCCTCAGCACCACATAAAAACAAATAAATTAAAGGTATTGTGTCCATCTACAAATAAAAATAAGTGGATGAACAAAATATATTTCTTAACAAAACACAAAACAAAAAGATGCAAGAAATAACATTCAACTCTAAATTTCTTGCTGCAATTTTATTCTTCCTGAAGCTGAATATGCAGCTCCCAACTTTGTAAGAATTGAACCCAAGGCCTGGAGCTACAAGACCAGTGCTCTACTACTGAGCAACATCCCCAACCCTCAGGTTCTCTTAAGGATCTTCATACACCTTACCCTGCTTTATATTTCTCAGACACCTGCATGTCAAAGTGAGGACTGGGTTCCCCATGGGGAGGCAGGTGCTGTGGAACAAACCATGTCTGAAAGACTAGAATGAGTAAGGCAGAACAGAGAAATTGGAGGGTAGTGAAGGGATGGGATATTTTATCCAGAGTTTCAAAAGACAAAAAAGTAAGGGTGCAAGTCACTCTCCACAACTTTTAGGAAATGCCACTAAGTCGTCCTAAGAGATAACTGATGGACACTGTTACCATGATCCTTTCTATTCAAGTGCTTAGGGTAAGTCATCAAAATGCTATAGTTCTTGCGAGAACATTGTCAAAAAGTTCACAGCATACTTTCATCAGAATGTTTCCAAGGACCTCACCATCTAATCCTGCTTTCATCTCTTTTGATGAGAATTGGAGATCATATCAGTCCAAATGAGTTTTTTGACAAGAAGGCATGTGTCTTACTAGTGGGTGTTTGATACAGTCATGAGTTACCTTCTCAAGAAAGTCTTAGGGTCTAGGCATTTACAGTCTTAAACTATTCGGAAAAGTTGAATAATCCTGGAAACTTGAATTCAGTCCTAATGAAGTGCTACGCTTTAGTAATGTCAATGAAGGTGACCTAAGT